GGGAAGTAGTATCTAGAGTTTGTGGTTTAAGCCTTCTTCAAAAACTTCTTCAATGATTGGTTTTAGCCTTTTCAGTAATAGTTTTTCAAACAATTTAGATAGTGTCGGCCATAGTGATATTGGTCGATACGATGTTGTTTCATGGTGTGGTTTCTCTGGCTTAAGGATCATTATTACTTCAGCCACTTTCCAAAGTTGTGGTACATATTTAAATCTAAAAGAAGCATTGATTAAGTTATAAATTTTGACCAATGCTGTTTTTGGTAGTTCTTTTAAAATTAGTCCAGTAATAAGGTCATAACCTGGTGCTTTTTTTGGATTGATATTGATTTTTATTTCTTGTTTAATTTCAGCTGGTGTGACAAGCGGAATTGTTTCACTTTCCTGCCCGCTAACGTGGGGACGCCAAGAAATGTGAAAATTAAATCTAACGATAGGAAATATCACTGGGGATCCATGTAGGCTACTTTGGGAATCACTGGTTTAGCACGATTATTTTTCCAGTCTTTTGAGAAATTTTAGATAGCTTGCCTGAATTTCATAATTGTTAAGTTTGTTACTCAGGTTTCTGTAAGTTACCTTCTTTACGCTGAAATAGAGTTTTTATGATGGTCACATTTTTGTTTGAAAGAAAACTAATATTGAACTATTTTATAAAATTGTAGGGTGATTTTAGAGAATTACTTAAACCTTCTAATAAAACGTTTTGCAGCGATTCACCTCTAGAGCACCGACTACGCGGACCTTTTGGCTCCCCGTTGCCTCGGCCAACTACTCCAGAGGCACCGCTCTCTCGCGACAAACAATAACCCAATTGCCGGCCCATTGATTCGACGGGAATCGAACCCAGTGTGGGGCATATTGTTCGATCCTGGCGCGCTACCGCGGGCCCCCATTGTTTCTCACCGTAAAAATAGAATCGCCGATGGTCTATTAAGGTGTCGAAGATGACTGGACGCTTTCTCGAGCCTTTGTTGCGCGAGCCCCTCTTTCTAAAGCGGTTAATTATTTGTGCGTGTGGCATTTGTGCGGGTTTTGCGGTTTATTAGCGCGGACGGTGGGCCTCTCGGAAGATCAGACATGATTACATTCGTTCGTTATGCGGTTTTGAATGCGGCTGTGCGCTTGTTTTTTGGCTATAGTGGTATCGGTACGTGAGAATACTTATGGACGTATTACACAAGGTCATTTATGAAGACATTCCACTAAGCGAATGCAATATCGTACAATCCAAACAAATGAAATATTTTTAAGTAATGGACGATTGACACAAGAGTTGAGCCTAACCAAATTATCAAATTGAAGACAATACGGTAAAAATATAATTGTCGTTTACTCGTAGAGGCATAAACTAAAGTCAGTCCAGCCAGGCAAACTAAAGTCAGGCATAACCTAAAATCAATCTTACAGTGTATAAAGGCCTCTATAACAATAACAAGTCGAGGGTGTCACATCATGCATCACTGAGCGATCTCTTCCTGACTAATACAGAAGTTAGGCAGGGATGTGTCCTAGCTCCTCTCCTATTCAACATATTCATGGCAGCGCTCTCTGTTATATTGGACAGCAAATTGCAGGAAAGAGGAATGTGTGTTAGATACAGGTATGACGGCGGTCTGTTCTATATAAAAAGACTCAGGGCAAAAATACGTATAAAATTCATCACAGAACTTCAATACGCTGATGACTGCGCTCTAGTTGCAAAAACGTTACAGCAATTACAGGAAATGCTGAACACATATGGGCATACGAGACCTTGGGCCTTAAGCTGAGCATCAATAAATCTAAAATCATGTGTACTCCCCCGGAAAATAATAACAGTGCTATAAAAATCGGAGAAGAACTATTGGAATATGTAGCGGAATTCAATTACTTCGGCAGTTCAATTTCGGAAAAGCCCAATATCGACTCTGAAATTCAGCACAGAATTAGCAGCGCCTCAAGAGCATTCTGGTAATTAAAAGACAGGGTTTTCTACAGTCATGACTTGAGCACAAAAACGAAACTTACAGTGTACAGGGTAATAATAATCCCCACCATGTTATATGGAAGCGAAACCTGGGTGCCGTACCGCCGGAACACGAGCGCATTAAACAAGTTGCAACAGAGACACCTTAGACAACTGTTAAAAATCAAATGGTGCCACCATTATCTATAGCGTACAATCCAAACAAATGAAATATGTTTAAGTAATGGACGATGTACACAAGAGTTGAGCCTAGCCAAATTACCAAATTGAAGATAATACGGTAAAAATATAATTGTCAATATAAGTTGAGACTTATAACGTATCAGTCCTTGAAAAAGCGAGCTGCGAAAGCCCTGAAGCGATGATTAATAAATACCGCTTAAGATGGGCTGGCCGCGTATGGAGGATGCAAGAAAACCGTCTTCCGAAATCTCTTCTTTACGGTGAGCTTGTAGACGGTAAGAGAAAACCGGGTGGACAACGGAAAAGATACAAGGATATTTTCCATGAAAACTTAAAGGGGATAAGTATGCAACATCAGTGGGATGAAGCGGCACACGATAGAACTGAATGGAGGACTTTGATGGAGGAGAATTTTAAACTCAGTTAAAAACAACAACCAAAAAGTAAAGAGGCAACAAAGTAATGAGATTTTTGAATGTCCGGAGTGCGGAAGAGAGATAACATCACGTATCAGGTTTTTCAGTTACAGAAAAGCTCATGAAAGAAAACGCCTTGCGTAACCATCTTATGATGCGTGTCAAATACTCGTCAGCGAGTAATGGCAGTAAGTAAGTAAAGTTTTGCAGATTGGATAAGTAAATAATTTTAAGGGCTAAACTAAGAAAATATTAGTTTTAATACAAAAGAAAATTCTTAAAATAATGTAAGAAGAAGCAGACCTAAACCAGACCATGACTAGCCTAACACACTGGGCCTAAATACAGCAATGAGATCTACATACGGCAAATATATTTTTTAGAGCTCAATTCTTTGCATTTCTTTCACCGGGATTTAAATTATCTAATTACCAAAAGCAAATTGGTTCTCTGTTTAATGATATGCATTTTAGTGAGATCTAGGCAGTCGATTTTTCCAAAATCATGTGGACAGCTATGTAAAAATTACCAAAACAAAGGCACAAGTTCAGACTAAAGCCGTTCCTATACGATGCTTCCAACCTCGCTTCCAACGTTGGACGCATCATTTGGCATAGGCTTCGACAATATAGGAATTTACAAGTATGTCTCCTACACGACGGCGACGTGGCAAATGTTCATGTGTCCAACTTTGGAAAGTGTTTGATACATTGTGTGGGATCGGCTTAACGCTAGTCGACTAGCTTATTGGCAGAGATAACCTTTAGATTGCCCACTCCCATGTTATTTTAGGAGCTGCCCTTTCCAGTTTTTTTGTACATTAAAGAACCTGCATTACCGATATCACTAACTGCCTTTATTTGAATCGCTTTTTTTTATTTTTATAGTCAGATTTTTTTTACTTTATTTTTTAAATTATTTTTATTTTATTTTTATAGTCTGATTATTTTTTTACTTCTTATTTAGAAACAGACACATCTAAAATTTACCTTTGTTTATGTCTTTTACAAAATGGTAAACTAAAGAGAAGGAGGAACCATGGTTTTTATACAGATATATTGTGAGGTATATATGAATATGTATAATTGTAACTCAACTCAAACTAAAGATTTTTTTAGCTCAGTTGATACTACCTATAGCAATCCGCTAGGTTATGAGGGAAATATATAATAGAAAAAAATAAAACAAAATATATTCCACAATTTATTTGTATTTTTACTTTTTATTAATACTATATATCGTATCGTTTACATTAAGTGTAATTCTAGTTTGCGATATTGAATATAACAAATTTACAACATACTTTAAGTATAGATTTTTTCTTCTATCATCTAGGACAAAAATAGGAACAAAAACTAAAACAATACATATCGTTGGAAGTTTACGTATTTTACTGTATACATGACCATAATTTTTTTAAAGTATTTTGAGATCACAAATTTAAAAACTGAAACCGTTAATCATTAAACGAATAAACAACAAAACCTATACAGGTTGTTAACTGGACAGTTATTGATAGGGGAACAGAATGGCAACACTGCCTATTGAGAACGCATGCACTTATAGGGTTTTCTGCCGACTCGTCCCGTCGCGTCGTCTACCGACGAGCGGGCCGAGGTTGCCATATTCCAACCATAAAGCTCTTGCCGCGAGTAATAAACAAATTAACAACCTGTATATCAAATTTTCTGAATTGAAATTATCCAGTATAATAAACTCTGTACACAAAGAAAACATAAATATGCTTAGATACACTCTACAAGCTAAACATTTTATTAATTTGTACAAAAAAATATCTACATTTTTACATTGGGGCTTTATAATATCTAACAAGCGCGAGAAATAACGTTATATTAGCAAAATTAATAATTATATACAATCCCTTGGGAGACAAGTATATAACCTACTAGAAAAAAAGGTTATGTTTAATTATTTAGAGATCTAATTCAAAATTGCCAATTTTCCAATGCCAGATCACAATACGAGTTCTTTAGTGAATATTTAAAATTTATTGAAATAATTAAAGTGTGGTATAAAACAGTATAATATATTTTTATTTTTAATTATTTTTTTCTGTAATATTTTTTTTGGATTTTATTATTTTCATTTTTTTATACGCTGTTGTTATTCTATTTTACAGTAAAGAATAAAACGCAAGTTGATTTTGTAACAACTACAATACCGGGTGTTTTTCACTTTCAAAAAATAACGAATCGACCAAAAATAATATACGAAAGATTAGAAAAAAAACTATTATTATATATAGTTAATTAAACTAACATTAGAAAATTAAAAAAAATATATAAATTCTGCCAGGCTGATTCAATATAATATATTGAAAAATAAAAATTTTAGGCAGATAAGTATTCTACTAATTTCTTTCTTTAAAGATTTTTTTTGCATTAAATTACTATCAATACTATTTATTTTTTTGCATTTAATGACTATCAATACTATTATTAATATTATTAATACTATTTACTGTATTTATTTACTAATTATTTAACTGCAAAACCAAGACCAAAAAAGTCCTGGTCTTGTATTTGCTCATGACTAGTCTCAAAATACCAAAAAATCTTATTATATACCCACAACATAAAAAATTAAAAAATAGTTATAAATTCTAAATATTCACTCCAGCAATATCATGAGCTGCCTTAAATTATAATACGTGATAAAGTTGCAAATTATAAAATTTTGAATATAAAAGGCTATCAAGGTGTGCAAAATATACTTAATATGGCATATTATTTTACGAATATTATAGGTGAAAGAAATGTAAATGTTTTCTGTTTTTCAAATAAATTGGTACAACTTGTAAATATCGATTTTCATGTTCCTTGTTCAACTAAAGCATATCGTTTTTTTTAAATGTAAGTTAATATTTCATGAATTGCCCTTTTCATCTGAATATAAATCAACATTTTATATAAAACAAAATAAAAATTTTATTTTAATTTTTGTAGGTTAATCCAAAAAAAATTAAATTGAATTTTTCAAAACCTTGTAGGCTTGTAGTTAAAATGAGAAATTTACGAGTTGTTCCTATCTTTCTGAAAAATAGCTCTTTAGACACACTTTACAATACATTAGTTTAAAATTATTTAAATAAACATAACCCAAAAAATCTACAGTAATGTTAACTGAATTAATCTTATTTCACGAAATGCACCTAAAAATATCACTAATCACATTCACATGTTATCTGGTCAAAATATGACCGTAAGCGGTCGCCTGAATTCACTTCCCGGTGTTTGCGTGGGATACTGGCCTCCGTACTGTGCCATCGGCAAAATTCCAGGAGGTACTGAGTTTGCCTGCTGGATTGCCGCACCCGGATAATACCCAGGCAACCCTCCTGGTGACGCTCCAGCAGACGATGTAGTGGTAGAGCTGGATGAACTAGCTCCGTCCAGCCTCTCCTGATTGGCTCCTTTATTATCTGATGGAGAATCGCTTCTAGGTGAACCCAGAATATTTCCTGGAGGGAGCTGTTGCTGCTGTCCACCGGTTTCGTACATTTTGCTGATGTCCAGTCCCGGATACGATCTGGACGGCTCCGTGTTGTACTTTCCGTCCATGTACATCTTGGACGACTCGAAATAAGCTTTGGTCAAGGCAGATGTGGAGTCTAGATAGCCTCTCTCCAAGTAGCTTTTCGATGGAGAGTCCATATATTTCGGGTCGGAGTACATCGACATGGCTAGGGTGGACGGAGGCATGTACGGGGATCGATATTTGTCGGCTTCCATTGAGTACTTCATTGCGTCCATAGTGCTCACCACCTGAAATAAAGATACGATATTATAATATGTACGCAGTTCTAGAATTATATTTGTATAGAATATATTTTATTTTATGTAGAGTAAAATCAAACCTTAATTCTTAATGAATTATAATATTGAAGGTTAATTCAAATGAAAAGCAATTTATAAATTTGACAGAAATACAACAAAATTGAAATAAATAAATCTATTTTATTTGTTCTGTCAGATGTTTAGTCTCATCATCTAAAGTGGAAAATGCATTTAACACTACAACGCTTTCTACAAAGTATCAAATGTCTAATTAGTCCAAATTTATCAATCTTACTGAAGACTTTATGTAATACCCTTGTATATATATTTTTAAAGTAGATCAACCTAAGACGTTTATGGACTAAGACTACTAGATGGCAGGACCGGTTTCCTTACAGAAAAATATTTTTTGTTACTCTGAATTTTGAAGCTACCAATAAAAACAGAGAAAATAAAAATCGATAATTTTCGGACTGTGCCAATTGGTTACTAATCGACCAGATACTTTTTGTCTATTAGATATGGTATAAAAGCTGGCAATTATACAATTCGACCATTGTAAATACCCGACAGATTCTTCAAGGCCGACAAGGCCGATGCTTCTCACTGATAAGAAATAAAAATGTTTGTTTAGATAATTTTCGAGGTATTTTTTCTTTCTGAATGCACATTTTAAAGTATTTTATATTCTTTGTCCCCTTGACCTATTATCCTGGTTGCACGTATGGAAGTTCTGTTTCTTCTAGTTTTAGAAAATGTTCTTATTTCTTTTTTCTTTGTAGTTGTAGTGTAAAATTAGATTAATGTATTAAGTTTAATTATAGTGTTTAGTGTAGCATGTTAATGTAGTCTACCAAAAATAGTTTAGCAGCGTTTTTACAGTTTATTTTGTAGTTAAGTAGTAGGTGAAGGGATAATTTTGTTATTTTTTCTTTTTGTTTGATAAGTTAGTAAGTTTGATAATTTGTTCAGTGTAGAATACAAGAATAAGTAATTGTGTAGTGTTTTTAAGAGATTATATTCGTTTATTTTGTAGTTGAGTAGTAGGTGAAGGGGTATTTGGGTATTTCTTCTTTTTGTTTTTCTTGTAATAATTGTAGTAGTTCTATTAAGTATTGTGATAGATACACTATATCTTCCTTCAACTTCCTTGAAAAGTGCGTTATCATATACTCTTGGTTTTCTGGTAGCAGAATATACGAAAAAAAATTTGATCAAATTTATTTATTAAATTAATCTAGCCTTATTAATCAAATTAAACTAGTCAAATAATAATAATAGTTAGTTTCAAAATACTATACAGGGTGAGTTTCCTACGATGTTCTCTATGAGTATCTCGGAAACTACTGGAGATAGAGAGTCGGTTAATGGGGAAAGAATTGCAGTTTTGTGGGGTCGTAAATATGCGCCTTTCGGATTTTTGAAAAAGTTTATCGCTTACTAGATATTTCGAAAATAAAATTTTTTGGCTATTTTAAAACTTGTCCCTAATTCCATTATAATCTATTTTAGACAAAAAGTTGTAGATAATCACATACCTAATGAGTTTGTGTTTTCTGATTTTTTCTAAAGCCTGTAATTTTTGATCATAGTTGGCCATGACTTCATAAAAATCGCCATTTTTAAACTTTTCGGCGATATAGGTATATATGTTTTTTTCGAAAAATTACAGTTAGATACAGAGTTACAGTTATAGCCAATTCTTTCCTTTCTTGGCTAATTTCACTTAGTTAGCATGGTATTCTTACTCTGTAATAATTTATAACATAAAAACATAGAATATATTATTAAACGGTTCTTTACGATTTACATTATGCAAACTAAAACTTCATAATATCACTATCCCCTACACTTACGTTATTTTAGAAAATGTTCTCCCGTACCGCCTCTTCGAGGGGGCCCATGCAATTGGTCCACTCTTCCGATCCCTGAGTTTGCATAATTGTGATATAAATAATTTTTAACATTTCTTTCATTATGGGGGGTGGGTGTTAGTATGTCATAATGAAAGTCATGTTGGAACCACCCTATTGACGTGCGACTATCTAAATTTTACTTTTCTAACATGTCTTGAAAACCGTTCTCTAAAAAACGTAAATAACGTTCACCGGTCAACGTATCCTGGAAAATGTATGGCCAAGAAAAGTTGAACCAATAATCCTACACGCTTTTCTTCATTTAAAAAAATCATATTTACAATTTTTGTTTAAGCAAGTTGCAATTTTTTGAGCATTTAATGAAGAATGTAAAATGTTTTATGTTTTATTATTATGATGCCGTTTAATTACCATGTCATATAATTATTACAGAAATAAAGAGGTCTAATATTGATACTAACAATTTATAACAAAATTGTTGAAAGGTGCTTAACGAGAAACTAAATAAAATAAACTGACTTGGTTTTAGATGAGATCACACACATTTTTATAGTGGAAGAATTATATTGCAAGACTTTTGATGGGATTTAAGTTATTCTATGCCCACGTACTTGATGACATTCTTCTGCTAAAAATGTTCGAGTTAAGTTTTTGTTATGAGTCTTTTGGCTTGGTTGAAGTTTAATCTTTGTTAAGCTATTTATTATCTCTGAAGACAGTTTTGACATACTCTATCTTTTTTTAGGGATATTTTTAGGTAAAAAATCCCCAGAGAAGAGAATGCATTTTCATGGGTATATCTGGAAATATGTTTTTCTTGACATATTGTATTTGTTTTATTAATTAAAATATTTGAGGAATCATCCCCCCCCCCCTCTCTTAATATAATTTATTAAATATTTACGGACGCCTAGTTGCTCCACTGTAAGTATAAATTTTTAGTTGAAAACGGAGATACTCTAAAAAAACACATTTTGGAATATAGGTAGTTAAGAAAATTATTTCAAACAACATTTTACGCTGCTTCAAAACTCATAATATTTGAAGACGCAGAGCTGCTAAGAAGAATGTAACTATTTAGGGTCTAAAAACAGGACATAAAAAAGACACGACATAAAGCGAGTATTTTCCTGCAGGATATCCATCATTAATCCTCAGTTAGGTTTCTGTTACGAGATCAATTACCGAAACAATGGCGCGTCTCTAAATAAAACCCACTGTCACCGTGAATATTAAAGACGGTGGAGATTCTCGGGGCCGTCGCCACCAAGGGCATTATCGCGATCCCTAGTTTTAAAGCAATTTCGTCCGATGACTGGACGATTTTCCACCGAAATCGATGTCTCCTCACCCTTTAGTACGACCTGCGTCCGTTATTCCGGCTATTTTTTCCGTCGCTTCCTCCTCCACGGAACTAATGGACTGTGAGAATTGGCACACGCCGATCGTGGTTTTTTTCCGGTTTCTCTTTGGTTGAAAAATGCAGGATCATGTCGGTGACTGGCCGTGTCCAAGGATGGGCGAAAATGATAATAACCAGGTGCGGAGGATCCATTAGACGAGTTTTTGTGATTTTACTTCAAAATACGGTGATTTATTTGCATTGAAAAAGAATATCAATGATCTGCTTTGAGTTACGAAGCAAGATAAATTTTTCTCAATAGTTCTGAATATATTAATTTATACTACTAATAACTCAATCATATTGAAATCTAGAATGCCACTTTATCTAAAGAAAACATTTGACCAATGTGTATAACCAGTCATGACCTATGCATGCGAAAGCTGGACACTTAAAACGGACCTTATAAGGAAACTGCAGGTTGCATAATGCGCAATGGAACGAAATATGCTGGAAATAACCAAGAAAGACCATAGAATGGATACGACAAAAGACTGTCATCCACAGAAGTAAAAGATGTCATCCACAGAATTAAATCCCTCAAGTGGCAATGGGCAGGACACCTGACAAGAATGACGGACAACAGATGGACCACAAAAATTACAGCATGGTACCCACGAGGAACTAAGAGACCTAGAATAAGGCCAAACGTGAGATGGGACCATGATATTAAAAAAATAGCAGTTAGTTAGGTTTAGACAACAATAGACAACAATGGGCCCAACGGCAAAGAGAATATCTAAATATGTATAGGAGGCTACACTATAATTGGAAATGGTTGAATAAGCTGGCAATGATAAAGATGATGATGATGATGACTACTAATAATTACTAGTAAATTCAGAAGTAAGGTAACAACCATAAAAATACACAGTTCAGAATTAATTAATAGGACATGTTTAATTAATTTTAATATAGGATAATCTAGTTGCACCGAAGAAAATGAGAGGAAAGATAGAGGAAAATAATCCAGAACAGAGTAAGCTAAATATTTTAGAAAACGTTAATAGAAGATGAATTTCTACTAGATGATGAAGGTTTTATGATTTTTTTTTGCTCACGTTTTACTGTGGGGGTAAATAAATTACTAATTAATGATTCAGATAAAGATAAATAGGTAGCATAGGTACCGTATGATCGAACAAAACGGCGTTCAGTTAGCCATTTTTTTTCCGTTGGTTCCTCCTCCACGGAACTAATGGACTTTCGTGGGTTTTTTCCGGCCGTTTTTGCGCTGGTAGCCTCATACGAACGTTAGTAGTAAACTTGGCAGTAAGCTAACGATCAAAAAAAATTAAACAGTTGAGTAGTAATTAAAGACATTCGTTTAATTAATTTTGAATATATCTGAAAAATAAACTGACAATTTCAATTACTTCGGACCCCTCATAGCAAACAAGGGAGGCTATGATGAAGAAATCAAACGCAGACTAGCAATAGTTCGTAACTCAACAACGAAACTGACTCGAATATGGAAAGACTCTGCAATATCCCAGGGCAACAAATTAAAATTATTAGACACACATAAAATAGATGCTTTCAAGATGTGGATATAGAAGAATGCTGCGAATATCATATACAGAACACCGGACCAACGCAACGTCTTAATTATTCTAAAGCAGTTCAAAATCACCACAAGACTTTCAACCAAAATAACTTAGCTACTTTAGGCACATTTCGAGAAGAACAGAAGGACTGGAAAAACTCAT